CCACTGGGGAAATCAGTTTGGAGATTCCTCAACAAACTAGGTCTAGAGGTCCCATTCAACCCAGCTATCCCCCTTCTGGGTATTTTCCTAGACGATCTAAAAACATCGTGTCACAGCAATATATATGCACCCTTGTTCATAGCAGTGCAATTTGTAATTTCTAAATTGTGGAAGCAACCCAAATGTCCATCCACTGAGGACTGGATAAAAAAATTGTGGTACTTTTATATAATGGAATATTACTCAGCTATAAAGAAAGATAAACTCAAGGCTTTTATAAGTAAATGGTCACTAGAGACTACACTCATAAGTGAAATAAATCAGAACTGCATGTGTAAGCATCGTATTGTCTCACTAGTGTAAGACCTGAAAGAGTGAATAAAAACTAGGAGGTAGTTTGCGGGTCTGGCGCAGCCTCGCTGTGCAGGTGCCCGGAAAGGCAGGCAGCAGGTGCCCGGGAAGCGGCGTGGAGACTGGTGCCGGCCCTCGGGCCAGTCGCCGCAGCGAGGGTGAGAACCTCCATGCCACAGAGAAGCACCGACACGATAGGCCTGCCCGGAGACGTGTGTGAACCATCCCGACATGCAGAAACCCCTGGGAAAACATGCCGCACGGCAGGTCGCTCTTGGCCCTGCCCTTGAGAGCCGGAAAGGTCCAGAGTCAGCGGAGGAGCAGCTGATGAACAAGGACTCGGAGATCAGGAGAGTACCAACGCTGGACAACTCAGAGGTTGAGCTGACTGGGGATGCGAGAGCCATTCGGGAGCTGGAAACCAGGAGGACCTTGCACAGCACCCGGGGAGACCCCTTGGAGGCCATTCTTCCCCTAACTGTACAGGCTGCAGTGGAGGAGCTGGTGGAGCTCGGGAGAGGTCTGCACCGAGACTTCATGGATTACATGGGTGCCCAATATTCAGATTCTGTAGAACCGCCTTCATGGGGAAGGACCGTTGTCTCCAAGGAGGAGCCCTGCGAAATCATGACTATAGAGAAAAAAGTGGATGGCCCATTTGCTGGACACTGGTGCTGGTCTCTCAGTCCTTCTTTTCAGCCCTGCCCTTCCTTCCAGCCGTCACACCTCAGTGAGGGGAGTCACCGATGAGGAGGTAATCTGCTATTTATCACAGCCCTTGGGCTGTAAATACTTGTTGGATCTTTCTTGCATATCTTTGTTTTCCTGAGAAACCACTTTGAGGATGCCAACACGTACTGCAGCAGCCATTGATGACTTCCTACCAGTCTGTCCATAACTCTGCAATGTCTGTATTGCTCCTATGCTATTTTGTGAATGGATGTGTGTTTGTTACTATGTGTTCTCAACAACAACCATTGAGAATAGTCAATGGTTATCTGATTGATCACTCATCTGTAGCTCTATTTGTTTTCCCTAGAGACCACTTTGGAGAAACCAAAATACAGTACAACAACCATTGATAACTTCCTGCCATTTTTGTCTGTAACTCACTATTATTTGTCTATTTGTTTTCCTGAGAAATTATCTTGAAGATACTAGTAAGTAAAATTACAACAATTGATAATGTCTTACCACTTTGTCTATAATTTG